ATGGGGTGACTTGTAGCAGAGTAGGGATCAAGCAAGCTGGAACTGCCATAGTCATCCCTTCAGTCTGGCCTGCCTGCCTGGATGCTGCCGTGCCTAAGCCATAAGGGTTTGCTATCTCCCTTCCCCTCTTATCCTCACGGGAAGCCAGCCCCAGCGCCTCGCTGGGATGCAGAAGAGGGTCAGAGAGTGGCTGGAGATGGGAGCTCTTCTCCCGAGGCTGTGAGGAATCTGGTCTTTGATGCTCTCTACCCAGGACATGGGGCTCAGGGGACTCTGCTGCTATGTGCCCAACTTTGTTAGCTCTCGAGTGCCTTAAAGAAACCAAAGGAAAACATACGTCTGAAAAACCTGTTTGGTTACATTGAAAGAGTGCATAGACCTATAAATCCTGTTAAAAACACAAACGTTCCTAATCTCCTCCTTGGCACCAGTGCCAGGGCAGTGTTTTCACTGGTAATAGAAGGTAATACTTTCCTGTATGGATCCCAGAGAGGTCAAAGCTGCCAAAGACTTGCTCAGCCACAGGACTGACGTGTTTAGAGTTGAGTTGGTATCTCTTCTAATGCTCCTATAGCTGAAACCTCCTCTCCCCAGTCCTCCTGCATGCTTTTTTGGTTTTTATTTCAAGTATTGCAAGGTTAATTTTGACTCTCATTAAATCGGTGGCAAAATGCCTCCTGGCTTCAATGGACCAAGGATTTCTCCCATGTTCATCTTCTGTACAATTTCTAGCATCTTTTTGCAATTGGAGATGTTGATGTGACTACCTGAAATTCTCTGCTGTTACAGGCCTGGGTAGTATTTGAGGGATCTCTAATTAGATCAGGTTGCTCTGAGCCCTGTCCAACCTGGCCTTGAATGTTTCCAGGGATGGGGCTTCTACTACCTCTCTGGGCAACCCATGCCAGTGTTTCACCACCGTCATTGTAAAAAATGCCTTCCTTATATCCTGTCTAAATCTATCCTCTTTTAGTTTAAAATCATTGTCCTGTCGCTACAGGCCCTGCTAAAAAGATTGTCCCTGTCTTTCTTAGAGGCCCCCTTTAAGTACTGAAATGCTGCAATAAGGTCTCCCCAGAGATTTCTCTTCTCTAGGGTGAACAACCCCAACTCTCTCAGCCTGCCTCACAGGGGAGGTGCTCCTGCCTCATGATCATCTTTGCAGGCCTCTTCTGGACCCGCTCAAGCAGGTCCATGTCTTTCTTACGCTGGGGGCCCCAGAGCTGAACGCAGCACCGCAGGTGGGGCCTTACCAGAGCAGAGCAGAGGGGGAGAATCCCCTCCCTCGACCTGCTGGCCACACTTCTCTTGATGCAGCCCAGGATACAGTTGCCTTTCTGAGCTGAGTGCACACTGTTGGCTCATAGCCAATTCTTTAGCCACCAGTGTCCTCCGAGTCCTTCTCTGCCAGGCTCCTCTCAATTCCTTCATCCCCCAGCCTGTAGGGGTACTGGGGATTTCATTTCCCTGACCCAGATGCAGGACTTTGGACTTAGCTTTGTTGAACTTCATGATGTTCACATGGGCTCACTTCTCAAGCTTGTCCAGGTCCCTCTGGATGGCAACCTGTCCCTCAGATGACACCACTCAGCTTGATGTCATCTGCAAACTTGCTGAGGGTTCACTCGATCCTACTGTCTGTGTCATTAATGAAGATATTAAACAGCACTGGTCCCCCTGAGGACCCCTGAGGGACACCACTTGTCACCGATCTCCATCCGGACATCGAGCTGTTGACCACTACCCTCTGGATGTGACCATTCAACCAATTCCTCATCCACCGAACAGTCCATCCATCAAATCCATATCTCCCCAATTTAGAGAGAAGGATGTTGTGGGGGACCATGTCAGAGGTCTTACGGAAGTCCAGACAGACAACATCCAAAGCTCTTCCCTTGTCCATTGCTGTAGTCACTCCGTCATACAAGGCTACTAGGCTGGTCAGGCAGGACTGGCCCTTGGTGAAGCCGTGCTGGCTGTCTCGAATACACTCCCCGTCCTCCCTG